GGTCACCACAAAACACACGAATATCCGGATATCTCAACACAAGTTTATTAGGTCTTATTTCGCTAGCTCACACATCCATCGACTGATTCTGCCTCCAGAATCAGGTAAACTCAAGCGCGTTATAACATGGAATCTCTCATAGCAAATCACTTAACATAGGATCAACCGCACCGTCGTACAGACGCGTGCGAAAACTCATACATGCTAACGAAAACAATACTTGTACCGTGCGTACATGCGCCATAGCATGTTAACTGGCTTGGCAATTGAGCCTATGTTTTCATACAGTTTACTGCAAAACATCAAAACCAAGAAGGCCACCCAGCAGAGAGCGCATGAACTTGACCGGTTAAAAAGCCTTCAGCGCAGTAATTCAATGCCAGTTTGGGCCACTATTTCGTTGCTTTTGTGCCGCTGTACAAATATATAATTGCATCCGTTACAGTGGAATTTAATAATGAATTCGATGTTTGCACCAAAGGGTTTATGGATTAAAAATTACTAACACGGTTAAATTAATACGAGTACAGTAACTTAATTCTACTCTGCACTGAGCTACGCTTCGGTCATGCAGTGCCCGCATAAAGCGAGTGCACTTTCCTAGTTATTAATAACTTTTAATACGAAGTATGGATCGTATGCTCGCATGCGAGCAGTATGTACGTATCTGCGATTACGCTAAGTGCTTTTAATATTTTCCTTTGGATGCGGATGTCGGGTTCAAATACGCTCCTTCAACGCCGGTCTCCTCAACGTTGGCGCCCTCTTCGCCGGGCGATCTCGCATTCTAGGCTGCAACCTCCGCCCCGCCTCGACGACGCCTTCGACGACCCCTGCGCGGCGGGAATCCTTTAGCGACAGCTTCCCTCCAAAGTCACTTCGTCTTACAAAGGAGCGCGCTCGCTGAAGATAAACGGTGTTGGTTGTGAAACAGCTCCGCCCGTGCGGCTAAAACCGAGCACCATTTCCGTGCGAGACGCCTTCGAGGGTGATCTCTGCGCGTGTTGGGGTAGCAGCAAGAGTGGTGTTATATTAAGCAGCATCTGTCACGGATGGTAAATTTTGAGGAAAAGGAAGTACAAGATTCGATACTGTGTGGCATTGTTTCGATGATAATTATTACTGTCTTTGTACATTCGGTGTATCTTTATAGTAGGCCTTTTTCCAGCCAATCATATCGTGAGTGAGTAAAAACTTTCAAACGGGGGTGTAAAAGGTGGCACCTGCCTCTGGTAGTTACCGCCGGCAATGGACGCGATGTTGAATTCGATTAAGCTTTGACGCCGACCTCCTTTGCCGGGTCGACACGCATCCCCGACCGAAACCTCCGCACCCGGGGCCTTCGACAACCCCTGCGCTACTGGAATCCTTTGGCGACAGATTGCCTTTAAAGACTAAAGTCACTTCGCTCCGAAAATGAGCGCGCACTGCAGATGAACGGCGCGTGTATCAGACAGCCGCTCAGGTCACCCATTTGAAACCGAGCAGCAAGTATTCCAGCAGGAGACGCCGTCAAGAGCGATGCCTGCGGAAGCGAGGTAGCTGCGGAAGGAGTGTTATGTTTACAGGAGTTTCAGCAGCCGCAGGGCGTCTGCCCGGGCTGGTGATTTTTGAGGGGAAAAGGAGTGCGCTCAGTACGGAGATTCTATACTGTGTGGCATCACGTGACAGTGTCTCGGTGATGACTGCATCTTTGTACTCGTACATTCGGTGTTTCGCCTACTGGGCCTTTTTCCCGCATAATATAAGTGGGGAAAACCATAATATAAACCATAATATAAGTGGGGAAAAAATGAGCATGTGGCTCGGTGGTTTATGGTTTATATACTGTAGCTGTATAATAATTATTGTGGTTTGTTTAGAGCTTGCGGATGTTTTGCTTCTTCGCACTATTTACTGTTTGGTTTCTGTCTGGCTTGGCGCACTTGCAACAACTTCCGTTCCATGATTAAGAGTACGAGTAAAATATTAAAGTATCGTCACTATCGTCTTTTTTATGTGTGAGTATTAACATGGGGATTTGCAAGATACTCGTTCATATTTATACCAACAGTAAGGGCAAATACACCTGCAGTATACCATTCTACTTTGTGATAAACTTACAGTTTTTTCTACATGGAAAAAAGTATTTACACAGTGTGACTATTTGGACTGCGCAAGCGGTGACTTCCGAATAAATCGGAGTGGTTTAACGGCATACGCAGTAATGTAATGTACGAGGAAAAATTAGGCTAAATGCCAGATGTAAACGAGTTGTAATTCTTTTCCTTTCCGTCGTCCGTCTTTAGAAGACCACATCCCGTTGCGAGACGACGTTCAACTGTCAAATTAATCAAAATTTTTTTAAATGAAGTGCAGCAGAGAGCGACCCGCTGGTGTACACGGAGGCGGTCATCCTAGAAACTGCGCAAGTACCCGCTGATCCCATCCGACGTGCTGCACAAGTATGTACTACGGTAATTTAATAATTATTAGATTGAATAAAAAATTGATTTTCTAGTATACTGTACTTTTGCCCTGTTCCATAATTACTGCTTTCCACGAGTCACCCAACACGCTAAATCTCGCAAACCTGCTGCGCCGTGTTGGCGATAGTGTCTGTCGGCAATTTGGCGCCGAATATTTGCGTCATCGTGCCGCTGATTGAGAACTACGAAATGCATTTTCGAATTTTCCTTCCCTCATTGCAGTGCGTTATGCATTATTTTCTCACACAACTAAATTTAGGGTGTAGCAACATTTGCCGTTTGGATGGCACGGACGGGATTAAAGATGACTTTCCTGGCTCGACTAACAAATGCTTTTTATGTTGCAGTTTCTTCTCATATTTCTCATTTGTCTTCCACAGCCGCAGGTAACGATAACAGGTACTTATATGCAAGTTAAAAATTTTAATACGCCCCTTATCTTAATAGTAAAAATATTAGTAAACAAGAGAATTTTTAAAAATTTCCAGGACTTGGTTCTGCCATAAGCGCTCGCTGCATAGCAGATGTCATGCCACGCCGCGGCAGTCTGCAGTTACTATGTAGAGTATTAAATAATCACTGATTGCCAGTATGTGTCCTTTAGGACGTGATGTCGCAGTTTCACGGTGCTTTTGGCATCCTCCTGCAACGCTGGCATTCAACAACGTGGAAGCGATCTCCGCCATCAAGAATCAGCAGCTCAGGATGTCGTGGTGCAGCGTATTCGAATGTAAACGCTGCTCTGTGTAACGTTTTGTATCGTATTCGTACCTAGTACCTGCCTCACTGTCAACATTCCTTTTTTTAATCCGACACTCTTCCGCATTCAACATGATTGTCTTTTGCTTACTCTGCATCTCGATAAGGAATGATCGATAAGGAATGATTTTTGGTATTTGCAGACGTTAAACATTAAACCTCAAACCCTTACACTTCGTCAAAAAATGTTGAAAAAAACCAACTGCATTTATAGATGCAGCAGGTTTCAGTTCAGGTAACAAGTGGCACCAATTACGGACAACACAATTTGTGCGGAGTAGCGCGACGCGCTGGTGTGTTACAGAGGCGGTCATCCTGGAGGCAGGGCGCAAACAGCCGCCTGTCGCAAAACCGAGTCCTCACGTAGTGTGCATTCCGGTGACTCCGTCACACGCCTGTCCTATTCGCGGTGTCGCACACGTGCACTAAGGCTACTCGTACCAAACTAAACGGCTTCACAATTAAAAAACACCTTAAACACCTTGAGGCACTTCCGGTTGACTACCTCCGGTGACCTTTAAGCCAGACAATTGTCGGCTGGTGGCTACATAATTCTGCACCTGTACTCCGTCCACCGGGATCGGCGGCTCTTCGTTTCCTGCTCCAGTGACTGCCTTTGTCGGACGGGCGACGCTCTTGCTCCGGGGAAAATTGTTATGCAACAAACTTTTTCTCTTCTTCACCAACATTATGTTTAACATCCCATCCATACGCCCGCGGGCGGCCGGCTGTCGTCCCTCAACGACAACGAGATTATCGTCATCGATTATTGCGAAACCACCATCGCACATGAACGCTGGTACGGGGCAACAGCGGTCTCGCATTTGCGATTTCGGGCAGCTTATGACAGAAGACATTTTAAAACCCCGCATGCCGCGATAAACAAAAAGCAGGAGAAGGAATAAACGAGCTTGCTGAGACAGGAGCGTGACCGCTAAATCGCCAATGAGTGCGCGGAGCGGCAAAAGCCAGTGTCGCCCTATTGGAAGTTGTTGCCGATCAGCACCAAGCAGACGGCCAGCGTGCTGCAAGGCTGCAAGCCAATGGGTCCGACTGGGGCAGTGCTGGCTACAAGGTGCCGACCATTTCGTGGGACGCGCGCAGCATCCTCTCTGTACGCTGGTTTTACCGAAGCCGACTGTGCGCTAACTGATCCGCGTGAACTTCTGAGGGCCGGTTCGGTGCCCGCCCCGCCCCGCTTCGGTTCGCTGATGCCGCTGGTTACGATTCCTGCCGAAATACGGAGCAGACGCTGCGCAGCAAGAAATACTAATCGGCCATTCGGCAGCCTTCCGTGACGGGCACGGCCACTCCCATCAACAGAGTATACAGTAGCTTGCACAGTGTGTTGTAGCGATTTGCCTTCCTCCAGTTGTCAACGCAGTACTAGTGAGCCCCGGCTGCAATTGCTGCACGATGGTTCCTGTTGTGCAACTGTAATCTGATGGTCCAACCTGGGCGATGGTCTGTTTGTTACCGCGTTGGCGCAACTCGATGCCCGTGGCTTAAGCAGGCTGGCACTGGAAAAGGAAGACATATCACCCACAGTCCCGCAAATCGTCAAGGTCACCCTCTTTTACACTTCTTCGATAGAGAGCCGAAGGACGATCCCAGTGTAACGGCTAACCACGCCATTTCGATATAAATAACCACCAGCGAAAACAAAAACATAATAAATAACCTTGACTTTATATTCCCTGTTAGTATTGTGCACCAAAACGAGTTGCCAGGGTTCCTTTTTTAATCTACGGTATATTGTGATTGCATTTCACTTTGACATTTATTAGAATTATTTTGCCGGTACAGCATTTCACGTCATAATCATTATTCATCTACTGCAAGGATCTTGAAGCAGCTTTGCCTAGTCATATTATCAAAACATTATCATGAAGAAGCAGCGGAAAGTAAGTACGGGATGCAGCCGGGACAGACGGTTGATCCGGATCAGCGGGCAGGGACGCACTGGACGAAGGGGTGCAGCAGGACAGACCGGATACCGGACCAGAGACCACGTGAGGCTGATTGTAGAGTCGCTACAGATAGCCATTTTATCCGGCCATGGCATATTTGCATATACTCGTATCGCGGGCGTTGTACTTTACGAATACGTCCGGCACAATACGGTATCCGGCCTATCCTGCCGTCCGCTCACCCAGTCTGTCCACCATGCCCGCTAATTATTGTGGTACTGTACAGTAAGATCTTTGTTGTGTGGTAATACGTCTTCCAGCCGGTTGCGATAAGGCGAATTAAAAGCGACAAAGGTTATGCAGGAAATTTGGGGTGCCAGAAACCCGGCAACATTACGATCGTGCAAATGCACCGAAAGGCAAACTTTTGAGCCGAATAAAACGGAGAGCAGACATTTGTTATCAGAATTCAGAGCATAATGAGTCATAGTAGTTTTCCAGTTTTGAATATGACTGGCAAAAACTCTGTACGATAATTTAAGTACAATATGTCAGTTTTCATTATATATATTTTGAATTTTAAGATATAAATTTAATGTACTTATGAGTTATGACTATAATATTAATTTTAATATTTTTGTTTAAATACGCCTTTTTCTAATTTATGGGTGTATTTATTTAAGTTTTCAATCTACATACATATGTAAATGAAAAGAATCCATAATACCTACTATATTATGAAATAAATCATTTGAAAAGCATTCATTTGAAATTACTTGTAATATTATAATTTATACACTGTACGTATGTACGTATACCGGTATACGTACCTGTTTTGTAGTACAGTTTAACAAAATTATTAATATTCCTTTGGCAGCGAACGAGTGTCAGTCCGGTGTCACACGACACAGATGCCACCTTCGTGGAGAAGAACGGCCGGACATACTACACAAGTCGAAATGGCAAACTCCGGCCGAATCAGTGGTTGTTCAGCTTCACCATGGATATTCGAGACGACGTGGACGGCTCGCGCACCGGTGGACTAACGGGGCTAATCTGGCTGATCAGCCTTCATGATGTGCCTAATACTGTCATGTAAGAACATTAATATATTTATGAAAAACATGTAGAATTGCTAAAAAGAATGCGCGTTGTAGAATTGTTAAGCGCTATGTATATGCTGTGATTTTGCAGTCCGGTATTTTTATCGACAAGAAGTTGGGCAACGAAATCTGCGCTGATGTCGGCGCTGTTCAGTGAACGCTCCATGCCGACACTGTCCGTACAAGGTGACGCGGGACTATATAACCTGTTTTTGGACTGGAAATACAGCCAGTTTAAAGCGTACGTGTACTGTGCTTATTATACAACCATGATTTGGTACCGGCCCGTATCTGTACACGTGGCAATACGCCTGCACAGCTTTACACCGAATAAAAAAGATTATTAATGTACTAGTTTACTACCAATAAACTATTAAGTAATATCTTAATAATATCTATTACCTACTACTAATCTACTACCGATAAAAAATTAACTACCAACAAATTTTTCGTGTGCTTGGTTTAAGTTTGAATAATGCAGGACGAACGCCGGACGGAAACAGTCCATTGCCTGTCTTGGCTTGCAAGACGATTTCCGCACCGTCGTGCTGTCGCCGGAAGTGATCTATTACATCGGTGAGGACGGCGCGCGACGCATCCAGTATCCCAACAGCCAGTACGTCTGGGTTCCGGGATGCGAGCTGCCGGAGAAGGTCGTCCCTTACACCGGTCCGGAGGAGCCGCCGTTCTTGCTGACACTGCGCCGGCTATTGCCGAAGAGCACCTTTTACACGTTCCTTTTCATGCTGGGTCGGTCAATGTTGGGTTAATGGTTGCAGCTGTTAATTAGTTTGTTAATTGACTCACAACCTGGTTCTATTTTCCAGCCCATTCCTTAGTCAGTATTAAGTACTGCGCCCTCATCACGGACCTGTTCGGCATCCCGAGTGTGGTCGTGGTGGGCAGGCCTGACTCGTGGAAGACCACACTGGCCAACCTAACGCTAAGTTTCTTTGGACGGGAACTGCACACGCTGTGCAACGTCCGCCAGATATCGCTGCCGGCACTGCGTGAGCGCTGGCAAAAGCTGCGACTGCCGCACATATTCCACGACGTGGCCGATATCCCTACACTCCGAGAGGTCATCCTGGCCTCGTTCGAGCAGCAGCTGCACGTCAACTACCGCACGGTGGACGAGCCGGCACAGCCGACGTCCAGTGTGTTAATCACCGCCAACGCGGGGAATGCCGAGGAGCTGGTGCAGTCGGGCACTGACAGGTCAGACAGCGCTGATCTTGTCACCGCAGTTTGACAGTAGTATTTTCATTGGGTGGTTACCTTTGGCAGAGAACGGCTGACCAGCCGGATCGTCTTCCTGCAGATCGACGAGCCAGTCACCGACTGGGACTTTAGCGATGCGCAGGCATTTCAACGCGGCAAGGCGTTCGCCGCCACCTACGCTGAGCTGCTGCTGGGACTGCTGTCGCCGGATTCATTGAACGGCTTCCTGGCCACGGTGTACGCCACACAAAAGACCTAGGTGCCCGTCATCCGCAGTCTGGGCGTCGACACTGGCGTCGAGCGCACGGCCCGCATGTGGTCGATTTTGTTCACGGTGGCGACAGAAGTAAGATGGCTGATATATATGCATATCGACACAGTATCGAGGCTAGTATGTTGGTTCGTAACAGGTGGTGCGGGCGCTGGGGCATTTGGACGAGTTAGCCGACGGGTTGAAAGAATGTCTGGCCTCGCAGATGGCCTTCTCCGCTCGCTACCAGGGACAGGACAGCCACACCGCCCTGGGTCGGCCGTCGGTGGGCCTGCCAGTAGTCGACGACGCCACACTGGCGAAATGGACCACCGACCTGGTGGAACTGGTCACGATCTTACGACGCGAGCTGCCGACAGAGGTGAAGTGGCCTTTGTCCTTTAGGTTGATAACTGTTTTCTACTCCTCTTTCAAACAGGTGGCGACGATATTCCGGTCGACTTTCGCGTGCCAGAGCACCGACTGCCTGGCTTTCTCCCGGTCCAACCTGCCGGTTCTCGGGGAGAAAGTCCATCGCCAGGACTTAGTTGAATCCGCTATGCAGTTGGAAGGCGCCGGTGGGATGCCCATTACCTATAGTGTCAAGTTCGACCTGACGAAGGCCACGGGAACGTACCAGCAGCACCGGGCCATTCTGGTGCCGCGCTCGCTGTTCAGTAATGAGCAGCTGCAATCGCTAGATGGGATTCGGTCAGACATTAATAAAGAGAACGAAGTGTAATTACTGTGTGTCATGCATGTTATCTACGCGTCAAAAGATGATAAGAGTGATTTTCTTTAATGTAAAAATTAAGTTAAGCGATATGTACCACTTGGTACAACATAGCATCTAAGAACATGCATCATTATTTTAAAAGCCGTTGCCGGCAAAACTCGAGAATTTCCGAACGACGGCGGTTGCTAATCCGTTTCCAGCCTTATCGACCCGTTTTTCCTTCTGTCTGTCCAGGTAAGAGGCAGCCAGGGTGTCAGCCCAACTTACCTCAACGGCCAGTGCTTTTCCTCGCTTACATCCGCCTTTACATTCGCTTCTGTTCGTGCTAATCGGAAAGGCGGCGATCATGGGAGCAAAATGTGAAGCGGGGAGTTCCTGCGTTTTACCGTCATGTAGCCGACGGAGGACGGGCTGGGACAGGGCCGCGTGACCGTCCAAGCGGCAGATGCTAGGTGCCGTCGGCTAATGACCAGTCGGTCGGTGTCTAACGGTACATGCGTGGAGTCGATCTGAGACGACCTGCACCAGTTGGCGCACTCCCTCCTCAAAATCAGCGTCTGTCGTTACCAACAGCAATACCTTCTATGATCTATCCACCATCGCGCGCTTTTTGAAGGGCTAGCAAAGCAGTCAGCGCGTGACACAGGAGATGGCCCGACCGAGGGCCGCTCGCGCTGTCTCGCATCAGAGTTACCAATCCACCTACGGCAGCCGGGAAGATGTTGTTGTAGTACAACAGCAACATTTTTACATTAGCATTCGCGAGAATCTCTTGCTATACACTACAGCGATGGGCTAAATAAAAGTCAAGGTTGCGCAGGAAGCCGTTTTGCTTCCGGCGGCTAAACTATCTTCAAAGTTCCGCTGACGCTGCTATCTCAACGTGGACCGCCAGAGGAGAAAGGCTGCACAGAAGAGCATCTCACACAGCGACTAATACGACATCCTTAAAGTACATACATGGTTGCGTGGTTGACTGTGAGTCTGTGACGCCGGCATTATGTGGACACTTTGTGACTAGCCGGTGAATACGCACAAAATGCATTTGTGCTGCTTTGTGATGGAGATTGGAGACCAACCCACTGAGCGCGGTCTGCTCAGACCCGATGCACGGCCGACGGCTGACGCTGGTCACAGTGTTAGAGCGCGTTCAGTTAACGACCAACGACGACGATCTTTATGAAGTCTGATTAATTCCAGCAAGGGTGGTTGCAGGACGCGACGTCGATCTGGAGTAGATTATGTACGAGAGCGCAAAGCTAGCCCTGTCTGTCCATCTACGGCATCACGCATGGGGAAGCGGGATTCGAACGGCTGGGCCGAGGGGGAAGTCACCGACACGTGTGCTGCTCATCCAGGATCCCGCGCTTACAGTGGCACAATTTGCGTGATCCCGCTTACGCGGCGCTGTGCGATGTAGTGCATACACAGCGCCAGCACCCTGGCAAACGATGTCCTGAAGATGCTGCGCAACATTTTGCAACCGCTTTTTGAGATCACCGCGAGAACCCGCCACCCACCCCAGTAGGCGACAGTTCCAGCAGGACGTGCGCGTTGTTGGCAATGTTGGTACAGCCGTTTGGTCAGTGCTTCGTCTGCATGTGGTGGGACTCGACTCGGTGGACGCCGAGTCCAAGCCGGAGCACGGGCCCTTTCACATGTCCTGGCTGCTGCCCGACCAGTGGTGGTCGGCGCTGACAATTCGGCCTACGCCTATTAACGCTGCAAGATGCACGCGCACCCTGGCTTTCCTTAACGCATTTCGCGCCTTAAGAGGCCTCGGCACTTTTGCGTTGCGTCACGAACTTCTTGAACGACAAATTCCCCCGGTCACGGCACACATGCCAAAAAAGGTCACAGCTGAATTTGCCCGCTGGGTGTGCACCCTAAGCTGTCCAGATGAGCCACAGTTCCTTCGAAAATATCTCCTACTGTAAGAACTTCGCTGTTTTCCGCATCAAAATAGTTGGAAATAGTTGTTTGCTATCTGCACTTTGACAGTGTAGGCCAAATTCTAAGCATGTGCGTTGCCGCCGTCGCGTACACAAAATTTATGGCCATATAGGAAGCGAAATTTTAGTTTTCGCACAGCAATATAAACGCTTAAGCGGCATTTAGTACCAATACCAACACTAGGTTTCGAGTTGGCTAAGCTGAGCCGGGGTTTCTGGGAACACAGTGACAACCGATGAACAGGTACGAGCCACGGTGTCATCTGTCAATCGACGCGACCTACTACCCGCTCTTGTAGTTGTGGCAGCCGTAGCCGAGATGACTACGGCCGGTTGATGTGGAGATACGTATATCGGAAACTTAAATCGGAAAGGTCATTCGCTGCACCTGTCGATTTCGCATATGCCGCCATGCCGTACACATGTTTAGATAACTTAAGAAGAAGTTATACCGTGTTCGTGGTCTGAGCGGCAGAATCGCTCGTGCGCGATGCACTACGGTTACAGCAGAACCGTTACAGCTAATAACAACCAAAATGATTCTACTACACATCTTAATAAGAGAAAAAAATCTTTGTATGTGTTTAAGCCAAAAATCTGGTGTTTTGTAGTGTGAATTTTCAAAATGTAATAACTAATTTCATTGTTTTTAGAAAAATTCAAATTTACCGTAGAAGCGGCGTATACTAGAATAGGAAAAACTCTGAGAAGAGTTTTTGTGTTTAAAGTTTAAAATACGCCCAAAAGTTGCGTTTTTGTGCACCGGAAGTCACTTTAATTTTTTTGTAGCGAGTTAGGAAACAGTTATTCACAAATGCTTCCCTAAAGTTGTTAGCAAATGATTTTTCTACATGCTGATCAAATTTGAGAATTTTCGGATTCTTTGGGATTTAATTTTTGATTTTACGAATTTACTTTGTCAAATCGGTCAGTATTCAGCGAAGAACTTTCATTGTTCTGTATTTTCCATGAAACTTTCGCTTCTGCGCCTGCAGTGCCGCCACAGTCAGTTTGCACATAGAAAGAGAGAGTGGCCACCAGTGAGCGCTCACGGATCCCTGTTATGTCTTCCCCTTTGTCTTACGGCTTTGTTATCTTTTCGTGTCCTTACTGACTACACAAAGTTTTGGTCTGTTTCCTATCACACTCGTCACTGGAATGTTATTTCAACAGTGCATCTTGTTTGCTGTCAGCTGTGGTCATTCAGCTGGACGCTTCTGACCGCAGGTGGCAGCAGGGCAGAAAGATCGCCAGTCCGCCAAAATTATCATGGGCGACAATCGAAAAAAATTGATAACTTTTTTGCAACTTGCCATACTGAACTCATATTGTTCTCGATTGTAGATAAGATAGTATTCTTGCCGTATGAGCAATTTGAAAAAAATCAGTTTTTCGAAACCTGCAATGGTATAACTTCTTCTTAAGCGCATTTCAAACTCCTTGGAAACTTGGTGAAAGCTAACATACCGCTTCTACAACAAATGCCCATCCACTTCTGCATCGCGTGTTAAAGAAATTTCCACAAGAATCTAACTTAAAAATAAATACGACAAGAATGGCCATTAAAGATGATCTAAAAATAACAACATAAAATAAAAAAATAAAAACATCGTTAAATTATGGTCACGTAATGACATTCAGTAATTTAATGTTGTAATGCCATCCACGGTTGCGAAATCACCCTCTGTATATAGGGGGCAAAACTAAACGTGTTCCACGGTTCCCCTGTATTGCTGCCGTCACCCGGCTGGAGTTTTACGTTGTGGCTAAACATGGTGCTTATGTACCGCGCCTGATTTAGCCGCATGTACTGCCGTAACGTCACACTCCAGGCGGGTGACGGCAGCAATACAGGGGAACCGTGGAACACGCTTAGTTTTGCCCCCTATATTAGGAAAAAGATGTTTGCCCCCTATATTAGGAAGATACGCCCGGCCTCCCCATGTTTTTAGATCTCGCAAACCAGAAAATTTCGAAAAAAACTGATAGCACCATTAGGTCAACCGTGGTCCAGAGCTGCCTCACATGATTTTTGTTTTCATAAGCTCTTAATTTCATTCTGCATAAACTGGACTGCACAAAGCAGACTGCAACGCTCAGTTGGAAAGTCACCGAACAACCAGTGAGCCGCTAAAGATGAGTGACCAAACTATATCTGTCCGGTGCACAGAGCCGGACAGCTAAGTAAATGACAGGATTGGCACTGGTGCCACTGAATAGAGCTCCCTAAGTTAGTGGTTGATAGACAGAAAGATTTCGGGTTTGCTTAGTTAAAATATAATAAAAACCATCTGTACATGTAGTGACAAACGGAATGCGTCAAAGTGCAAAATGATAAATTGGTTTTCAAATAAAAATTTGCGATTTCAGGCTTTTACAACTTGTCCCATTATGTTTCGCCGAAATATAAGATGCTGGCTACTTAATAAACTAATCGAAATCATGGGAATGCACCGACCGTGGACCACAAGAAACGCGGAGGCGAAGCCGAAGCTGTGCTTGTATCATAATATCACTACCTCTGAACGTGCTGAACCACCCACGCGCCCACGAGCTTTTGAGGTCGCGCAGGCTGCCTACAATTAAGGCGACGTGTTGTCGTACTCCGGATCGTCCCTTTCCTGACGCTCATCGTGATCCTCCATAAACCATCGGAAATTGATTTCTTCCATGTCCAGATCGTATTGCTCGTCCCATCCGTCCTCCTGCTCCATTTGCTGTGTATGAACGTCGACGGCCTGGTGTTGCCAGATAATTCTGTCGGCAGCTTCATCTGCGGCTTTCGCCGCGGCGACCGCATTGCGTCGCTGGAGTTCGAGCATGACGTCCCGTTGATTATCCAACCGGAAGGCTCTCTCCTCCGCGGTCTCCGACACTGTTCCCTCGGGGCGGCTGTAGAAATCAGCGGCTGCGGCAACACGCGCATCTACTTCCGGTTCCGGATCCGGTGCGGTCGCGTCGGGTTCCGCCCTTGTGATGGTACCGATCTCCGCTGGAATTGGCGTGTTGCGGGACACTTCGCCCGCATTATCTTCGGCCAAAGGCAACCTTGGGCGAAGGCGGCTGGTGACTTGTTCGCCATGTTCCATGCTGTCGATTACCCACTGATCAGCTCGTGTGCACCGGCGCCTTCCCGGTTTCCGCGGAGCTAATGGCAGCTCTCTTTCCCCTTCGCCGGACACCGGCAAATGTTCCGAAACAGCCATCTGGGCCACGCTGGGCTCGTGGTTAACTGGGGCCGGTGTATCAGGAACGGCGTCATCGTGATGCGCTCTCTGCTGGCTGGGATCCGTCCAGGACAGGTTCCGCAGTACACCGCCCGCGACCTTTCCCTGGCAGTCAAAGGGGCTCCGCATGTGGTGTTTGGTGTGACTATCTGCAAACGCTCTACGTATGGCGGCAGCGATTTCACGACGGAACCCCGTACTCATCGGTGTAAAGCACGGAAAAGGGCCGAAATGGTGAAGCTGGTCTAGCAGCTGTCCACAGATAACGGTGGCCGGAGAATCTTTTCCTGGCGTGTACCCGAGGCATTGCGGAATAATGGTGGCTAAATGTTTGCGTACTGAAACTAGTTCGCCAACGGCCAAAGCACGTGGCATTGTATTTAAACAAATGTTGCTTTAGCATGTACATATGCTATCAGCCGTACTGGTACATATAATAATTGGAAATATCCGTGTGATTGGTACAAATAATTTCACCGTGTTTCGTTGAAATGTTGCTCGGCAACTGCAATGAAGGTGCACGGTGGTGGCTGGTCAATGCACAGAGCGCACAAGTTATACCACATGTATAACTTGTGCGATCTACTCCATTAGTCAATCCGATCTACCTCAAGCGGATGGCCATATACCTTATACTGCGATTATGGTTTTAGCACTTCCGATCTACCTCAAAAGGGTGCCCATCTACCTTACACCTACCTCCCATCGACCCGCCAATGATCGCTATCAGGTTGATCTACCTAATAGCGATCATTGGCGGGTTGCTTCTCCCCATCTACCTTAGCATGTGTCTCGATCTACCTTACTCCAATCCCATTTACCTTAGCATGTGCCTCGATTTACAGTATTCCCATGTACCTTACCATGTGTCTCGATCTATATTTGCGAATAATGCAGCTGCCGCCCGCACCAAAAAAACCACAATTCACGAAAATAACCAAAATATATTTACAGCAAAAACTCGAAAAACATCATGCATTTTTAAAAATTTCTTCGGTCGGTTAAAATCGGCAAATTCATTACACTCTGCAAGCCGACTCTAGTGCAGGGTATCCACAGCACACTGACAAGTGAATCTTCGATTCCGACAGCACAGTCAAACCAATAACAAATAAAATCCAAATTAAAAAGTTAATAAGAGGGGTAAGTTACCCATAACTGAAATGAACGAAGTAACCGCATTCGTCAGCGACTCTGTGTAATTAGCGTAGATATAGAGCTTTTATAGAAAACTTGTGATTACTGTGAAGCGCCAATTAAAATAAAAAGGAGAAAATACGGATAATACGAATTAAATTAATTAATAAATACGCAGGCGCAGCCGACCACGGAATTAATCACACAGAACATTTCGTCTAAGTTAGCCGATACCGGTGCAATTCTCATTGGATTTCAATGCTGAACCCCTGGCGCAACTACTAAGTCATCCGTATCTCGCCCCTTTCCGGTCGTATCTTCTTCCCGAATTTGGTGACCAAGCGCGATCGGTTCCGAAGGGTTCAAATGCTTCGACGCTTACTGACGTAACATGCAGTCTTGGGGTGATGCCTGATACTTTGTCACGTTGTTCTGTGTTCCCGATGCTTCGCCACTTTGTTTTTCGCGCGCTGCGGCTGCTGCTTGTTTGTGATGTGAAATAAAGCTACCGGGCATCCCGGAAGGTCAACATTTTTCTGCTTTCCCGTCACCCCGGCATGGTGCTTACCAAGTTATTATTGCTTACCCCGTTATGGCGTTATCCGTATACCGTTGTTATTCGCATTCTACCCGTACCATTCGACTCATTAATATTTTGCGAGTTTGATTACCGGAGCGTCGACAATCAGGGCCAGCAGCGGAATTTTAACGACGCCAGACTCCGACGCCTGTTGACGATACGCACTGACCCTTGCCGTTGACCTCCCTGTTGGAATTACTCGTATTATCATTACACAGTTTTCCTCTTGACAGTGTGCGCATCCTGTAGTTTCCGTCAGTTCGGTAACAGGCGGACGTCGATACTGGAAGATTGACTGTGGCGGTAGAGAGCCAGGTTACGTCACGCGGGGTAACCTGGCATAACGTCACCGGCGCACTTCCGTAACAGACGGACATGCATCTTTGCGTTTTAGCTAAGACGAAATGCGAAACTGCTTGTGTAGCATGCCGTAGATTACCAATTATTGTCCCGGGGCCACTAAATTTTCGTATGGTCTTAGCCGCCTTACATAGGTCTTGTTTAACACTTCGTTGACTAGCCGTTTTGAGCAGCGAGGCTGACTTTGTGGTGGAAGTCAAGTCACCAGAGGCATCCCAATGATCCCATTCGCCATAACCAGTCATTATTTTTGTTCTAATGTGGTTTGATTGATTGCATAGACTATCGAGACAAAAGCAGTACACTAGCAAGACACGAACACGTGCGTCACATTTATTGGCGATAAAATATCTTTTTTAAGGATGTTAGCTTGCGGTATACCTTCCCACCAGCTGCAGTTTTTATCATAATTATAGCAGCAGGAATTTCTTTTTATACATGTATGCATTGAAAAGGCGCGGCTTTGTCCAAAGACTGCATATGGAGGTCTTTTGTGGTTTTATTGGGGGCTAAGGAAAAGGCCTGTTGTATCAAAGTACAGTATTTAAAAGCAGAAACGGTTTCGTCCTACTGATTGCCGTACATTGTAAGCGTTAGATAACGAGGCAAAGTCTTAAGCCGTACAGGCCCGTTGCAGTTTTCCCGTTGAAATTTCATGGAACCAACCAAAATAAGGCATGGTGGATCAGGAACTGAAAGTAAATTTGTGATACCATCGAAGCGCCAGACAAAATGGCTAACGTACTCTTGATGGAAATTAATTAATCGAAGCATCCGGCTGCGCTCTATGTAAATTAGTGATGATCATTTTTTCAGTTACTAATAATTTCATAATAATAAACAGCACAAAAAAAATTGGCGCACTAAAGACCCTTTACCCTGTTCAGAATGTGTAAAATTGCAATTCCGATTTAAAAACCGACGTTCCCAATCGTTCCCGAAACTGTAAAATTAGCGCAACGTTCCCGATTGCCCAACGATAGCTCCCAGGCACAAATCAGTGCGGGGCGATGGTTTGTTCGTGGTCGTGCGGAATTGTCCAAGGTCACCCGGCAGAGAATTTAATGCAGAAAATGTCGGCCATTGCCAGTTTCATGAACCGGGAAAACAAACTGCAGGATCATTCAGGAGGAAACCGTTCCCTCGGATTTCTTTGGCGCCGACTGACACTGGAGATACAGCGAAGAGACGCCACTTTTGTTAAAAGTTCAATGGATGGAGCGGAAAATTTAATTCAGTTACTGCTTTTTTGATATTAAGTGTCCTTTTAACTACTTTGTTTGTATTGGTCATTTTTACTTCGAAGTGAAGTGAAGTACATTTGATTTACACAACCAGGATAAAATTTGCAAATTTGAAAAGGTTACCAGAAGTCCAGAACCACCTTGATAGTAATAAAACGCTGGCGCACATTGCTGCTGATCTTGACGCTATCCAGTTTTGGCTTTCAACCGGCAATGGACTCAGCTTCCCTAAAAAATATATAACCCGTACATAGAGGGCAGAGACCGCGCTTATCAAAATGAAAAACAACTCCCGATCACAAGCTCAATTTGTTATAAAACTTACAAGAGTGTTCCGTCCGTACAGAAAGAACTGCAATCGAAATGGCAGAAAGATGGATTAATCGTTGACCTTTCTACCGGACGGCATCCCTTCGTGCCGAAGTTAGGCATATGGGTGCATGACCAAGCTGCCGAGCCAACTCGCCGTCGTCGATTAATCTAACAATGGCATCATTGAGTGCATTAGGCCCATTGTGAGAGTCAGTGCATGCCTTCATGAGTCCGGGAGAAAGTGAATGCAGTTATGCAGGTATATGGTTAATCACTCTGCCTGCATATGTCGTCCCAATCTTCCTTCATCTTTTATTGGGTTTTTTATTTAAAAAATTTATAAACCTGGAGGCAGCCACGTCATCAATCAGCTGGCTATCTGCTTATCAGACTCATGCGTTTAAACTCCAGCCCTTTTCTCTCGTTCACATCTGGTTAAAACCACCCGATCACAATTTCAAAAGGTGGACCAAACATTTAGAATTTCAGAAGACGAAACCTTACGAGGCTGAACAAAATATCAAATTAATAATCAGGTACGAGGATTTGCCTTTCGGCCTTTACGGTTCGAACAAGCTTACCCGTAACGCTACGCTTAATTCTTTACCATGACGGTGTAATTTTTACGGGAATATGGGTAATCGCCGCACGTCAGCATGATCGTTCGGCAAAGTAAGTAACAGAGTTATTTCCAGCCTTAATAACGAGCACCACGCAAGTACAGTGCAGATGGCTCGTCGGTAAAACATTACCTTACGGACCGAGCAGCCGATTGGGCAGTGTGCAGTGCTCGCACAATTAACGCAATTGAATATAAAGTTTGTAATGTCCTGTAATGTCCTCGGTGAAACGTCGCGGTGCAAACGCCGCTGCACCCGAACATTTGGGGAGTGGGACACTTCGCCGCCCTTAAATTCGCCGCGAAGATATTTTGCCGCGGAACATACAATAAGGTTTCACTCACGTTACAGCATTGTTAATGTGCCGCAATTCGGAGGCGCAATGGAGTACATCAAAACCGGAAACAAAGACATAAAACCAAAGACGAATCAAATTAAATCTGTGCCCAGAGCAATCACAAATCAGATATAGGAGGAAAAAGCAGGCTAGCCGAACCATTCCCCTGTAATGCTGCCGTCAGCCGGCTGGAGTTTTACGTTGTGGCTAATCATGGTGCCTATGTACCGCGCCTGATTTAGCCGCATGTACTACCGTAACGTAACACTCCAGCCGGGTGACGGCAGCAGTGCCGTGAATTGGTTCGACTGTTAGATACATACTCTTTCCTGCTCGATTCACCAGGTTGTATAGCTTGATTCACCGGGATTCATTGGGATTCACTGGCAAAAAAATATGATAAAATCTAACGATTCTTCTGCAAGCAGGATTCACTTGGATACACATGCTGTGATGCTGGATTCACCGTGGTGTGCACCTCGATTCACCGGGATACACTGGGATTCACTGGCAAAAAATATGATAAAAACTAACGAGACTTCTGAAAGCAGGATTCACTTGGATACACATGCTGTGATGCTGGATTCACCGTGGTGTGCACCTCGATTCACCGGGATTCACCAGGATTCCCTGACAAAAAATATGATAAAAAACTATGACTACCTTGCAACTTACTGCGGTTCATTGCGGTGTACTTCGATTTACCGGAGAACCGATGTCTAAGGGTGTGTAACCTTTGATGTTAGTTCAAATAAAGTTTCGAGGTGGACAGTGCTAGTAACATTCGGGAATTTGCGGCGGCAGCTGATCTGAAGTCGTTCTTCCCGTGTCGGAAAGCTTACAGAGCCGCCTTACAGAGCCAGTAAGATTAATGATTAATTTTAATGTTATTTTGACCTTCGTTTACGACTCACGAAATAATTCTAGACGGATTCGGACAGCAGCTTGGCAATCGTGACAATCGTCGGAAATGTTTGAAGCAGATGCGGACAGTAATCGTTGGCTTTTTTACATAAAAGGGGATGTCAGTAGCACTGCAGCGCGTCTAAATAACGCTGTGGCTAAACATGGTGCTTATGTACCGCGCCTGATCTATCCGTTTGTACTGCTGCAACGCGCCATACTGCCAGTCGGAAGAAGGCAGCAAGTACAGCAAGTATGCTATGTATAAGCTTTATGGAATTGATGGAAAGGTGTCGTACAAAGGTTGTAAAGGATGATGCTTTCGCATTGCCGCCGGGATTGATAAAAACCTGATGGATTGCTCGATTGCCCGTAAAGTCGCAGCGCATCTCTACGATTCTAATGTTTTGCTTACGTTAACCTTTAATTACTAATGCCATGTCTGCAAACAAACCGGAAGGAAAGGTTGGCTAGCGCCGTGATACCGGTCCAGTAAATCGAAAAGCATTACTTCATGTAGAAAAATCTATCACTAATTTTCTAATGTATGTAAACCTATCACTAATTTTCTGATTTTCAGGGCACGACAAACAAATAATAGAGATTTCGGTAATATTTCGGAATTTGCGATAAGCAAGCGGCCAGTACCCATGCTATAGAGAGCATGACTTGGAGGCACCGCGTCCTGCGTCTGAAAGGGATGCTTGCCTCTTTCGCCTTGCGAAAAACTGCACGCGCAATGGACCGACCACGGGCAGACACAGGGCAGGCCAATTTCTCCCTCCTCCTGTGTCTCCTCCATTGTTTTACACCGTATGCGCATGACCACTACCGGCCTCCGCATAGTCACTTTTGTTAGTCGGGCCCGTGCCTGTGGGAGCAGGACATGTCTTAGAGAGCAGCGTATTAATTACTTTTTAATTACTTTTTATGGCCCCTGCGCACGGTTTGTGCGCCTGCTCTCTTGATCGGCGGCTTATCGCAAATCGGGTATTGTAGCGCTGGAAAGCTCTCGTGCGAAGCCAAAACAGTTTATAAATCTGGACTTTATGTTTATGCTTATGTGGTACATGCCTAACCAATATATTGATAAAATATGGTGGCCCTCAACTAGAATCATGCTAGAATCAATATTGAATATTGAAAATATTGAAAAACTATCAATATTGTATCAATATTGAAAAACTGCCGGTGCAATACTTACAGCACGCTGAGCACGGTATAAAAGAGATAAATATAGCGACTAGCGAGTGATAACAGTACAGGTACTGTTGCTGTTAAACGGTGGACTGCAAGTCTGCAAGGAAGAAGAGCAATGAGCATGCTGCTCGTATACTGTACACCAGACTTGGGCCGCCTTTTTGCGGAGCGGGAAAATTCTCCGCCATTCCCGCCCCTCCCCGCTTTTTTGGAGGGCGGGAGCGGGCGGAAGTTTTGAGTTTGGAGGGACGGGGCGGAGAGGAAAAAAGTGTGAGCGGACGGGAGCGGGATTATTTTAAAGGCGGGCGGAGATCAAGCATAAAATAAAATTTAACATCATTTACTGAAATATTTTTACTATTTTTTGTAGAATTTCTAACGGTTTTTGCGGCGAAATTTGTTGCTGGCTTCGCGCTTCGCGCTTCGCGCGAAAATTGGCAACTGGTGTGGTCTTTGAACAGACATTTCTGAAGAAGAACAAACGGAAAAAAATTAAAAAATGAATAGCACTGAACAATTCTTTCACATTTCTGGCGGGCGGGTGGCGGGAAATTAAGATATGGCGGGCGGAAGTGGGAAATTTTTTTGTTACGGCGGGGCGGAGCGGGGCGGAAAATTTTTAGCAAGAGCGGGGCGGGCGGAAAGCGGAGATGTCATTGGCGGCCCAAGTCTGCTGTACACTGCTGAGTGCTGACTGGCTATGACTACGAAAGAAATAGAAACTAACAAGCCCAGCACGGATTTATAATGTCTTAGGATTTCGAGCATGTAAAAAGGTTAACTGTATATGTATTAAATAATGGCACGATGTTTATTACATTAAGGAGGCACGAACAAAATAAACAGGCGTGAGCAGAACCTGTTATTCTGCTTATTCGCAGTTCGCTAATTTCAATGACAATTCGATATAATAACACATAGTAACAATCTGGGGATTTACAGTTAGCCCATGTCAAGCTAATGGCCACCATGGTAACAAGCTTTTGAGTGACCACTGGACTGTGGGTAGTGGGCTATCCAGAAAATTGATGATGCAGGAACACTCTCGACACTGAGAGGATTCTGTAGCACTTTAGAGCGGGCAGATTGGATGTGTGGAACGGGAGAAAATTGGTTACAACGGCAAAGTGTCGAGGACCCTGGTTACGTACTCTGTAGTTAGTATTCATATAAATAACACTGCCCGCATCATAGGACAGATCGAATATGCATGCATGAATATGACAAACGGCGCAAACCTTGACTACCGGGACAAACTCTCTACAGGCCATGCTGAACGGCTGATAGGTGTGTGGGAAGTGGAATGCAGCAACTCATGTGTCGATCGATATTATGTAGAAGCTTCCTTGTCCGCACTGAAACTAGATGTCTTCCGCCGGTTTATGGTCGGTATCCCAGCACTGCTGATCAACCCGGCTCAATGATTAAAATACTGTTGACGTGCTTGCAACATGTGACTGCTCTGCTCTGAGTGCTCTCTAATCCCGATGCGGTGTATATTTCTCTAGTCGCGAATTCATAGATTGCAGTTCGCAACTTCAAACATTTTCACAATAATTTCGAGCGACGATAGCTATTTTCAGTTCGTAAAATAATTAAGTTATCTCCCTCAAACCCGCTAACGTGTAAGCAATATTTTTGGTTTTCCCGTGAGACGAAGTACAGGTACGTGAAACCGCAGCGCATTACACTTCCACGCAATGTTTGGAAATAACAATTACGATAAATTGAATATTTTTTGAATCGCTGTAATGGCGTATAAACGTAACTGCGTTTCAAAAATTAATTACTATCAAATTTTCTGGACTTTAATCAGTTTTGTTAAAGATTTAGCAAGCCAGTGGTGATGAGAATGCACCATTTTTATTTTCATTTTCGCTAAAAAATCGCTATTCACAGTAAATTTATTGTACACGCATCTGGAACAGTATTAAGCAATTATTCTATTTAAGCGGATGCATTTACAAAGTTGCATTCTACGATTTACAAAAGAAGCGTCCAACAAGATTAATTTCTATCGGAAGTTGCAGTTTTTCAAAAGCTTTATAAGACGGCCAGCGCCATCGGCTAAAATACTGTTTAAAATTACATTTGAATGTACTATTACTTACTAACAAGTAAATTCCCCGTCATAATGCGGTGAAAGTATCAAGCATCAACTGTATCAACGAAAACTTCCAACGTTTTTTACTCTCATGAATATTTGCTAAACTTAATTAAAAATTCACAGCTCTCCTGTGCAATAATCTTTCCTGCTAATTAATAGGGAGATGACTTGTATAGCCTAGGTGTAGGACTATCTGTGTCACTGAGTGCATCCGCATCCCGCATACATTATGGGCACCGCCTTTTGAACTCCGTTTTTCATAGCCATAATTTTTCATTAATTATATCAGTCACTCTGCGGTTGCTTTTTACATTTAATTTTTTAAGCTAAAAGCTGGAATTTACGAAAATCGCTTTCTATGAAATCGAGCCAATTAATGCTCGGTATTAATGTTAATTGTGTTAGCCCGGACTGGGCACCTGTGTTTGCACACCAGAAGCCTCCGTTTAATTAACGTACTGTTTTTTTCGCACCGAGTGCATTCCAAGCACCGTTTTTTGTTGACTAGTGAATGCATGAAACCCGGAATTTTATCCTCGCTAGAGAAAAAAATATTGTGGATCGTTGACCTATCCGTAGACATTCGTTTCTGGTGCTGCCGCCACACTTAACTTGATGTACGTTTTTCTTCCAGCTCCAATGCAGCTTGCTGATATTATTTATAGTGGAAGATTATCAATGGTTTACACAGGAAACAGGATGCGAAAAACTTATTGTGATAATTATTAGCAAATTCATTGTGCATATGCTCATTGGCGAATCTAGGCTGTTTTTTACACGGGCTGGCCAGGGATGGGGGATAGCAAATTTCCAGGGATTATAATACGTGATATTTTCAGCACATTATAAATAAGACATTTTCTTTATTTCGCGTTAAAGACACGTGACCTTGTCTCTTGCGGAAGACCTGAAGTTTTTATGCCTTATCCGCTCTTTGCTTCTGCAACTTGGCATAAGATTGCAGCATTTGTCATAAAATTACAGTAGCATGCAAGCAGTCTCTTCAAGAAAAGTCAAGAAAATACACATTTCATGTGAATTCAACCTTTACGGACTTGACAAAAATCTGTCAATTTTTGATGCGGTAAAACAGAAGATTGCGTCAATATCACAGTTGCCAGAATAGTTTTTATTAATATGGCGGTGCCATTTGCCAGAAATCTCGAGCAGAAATCGAAATCGCCATTTTTCGAACAAGTTTCTTTGGTAGCTGATCGATCACTAAATCATTAATACTTATATATACTTCTATAATATACGTATATAGTAATATATATAAGTATTATGTATACATGTATACATGTACAAGTATTGTATATGCCCGCAACATCGTTGTGGCGCTAGTTTTTGCCCATGTCTTGGCTTTACAGTTTACATTGCGTTATTTCGCGTTAAAGACACGTGACCTTGTCTCTTGCGGAAGACCTGAAGTTTTTATGCCTTATCCGCTCTTTGCTTCTGCAACTTGGCATAAGATTGCAGCATTTGTCATAAAATTACAGTAGCATGCAAGCAGTCTCTTCAAGAAAAGTCAAGAAAATACACATTTCATGTGAATTCAACCTTTACGGACTTGACAAAAATCTGTCAATTTTTGATGCGGTAAAACAGAAGATTGCGTCAATATCACAGTTGCCAGAATAGTTTTTATTAATATGGCGGTGCCATTTGCCAGAAATCTCGAGCAGAAATCGAAATCGCCATTTTTCGAACAAGTTTATTTGGTAGCTGATCGATCACTAATTCATTAATACTTATATATACTTCTATAATATACGTATATAGTAATATATATAAGTATTATGTATACATGTATACATGTGCAAGTATTGTATATGCCCGCAACATCGTTGTGGCGCTAGTTTTTGCCCATGTCTTGGCTTTACAGTTTACATTGCGTATCATGATATTTTCTATCAATACTCGGTTAGGATAATTTTCCGTTTTCTTGCACAACCATATCAAAATGTGGCATTTAGTTTTTGATTGACCTTATTGGTCCAGTAATAGCTCTCCGACTGGCAGCGGTTTTAACAGGGGGGTAATACGAACGCTCCGTGTGCCTGATGATACTACTGTACTTTTTAGACCAATTTTCAAGTTCCTCAGTAATTTGACGTGGATGCAGCAATGGTAGGCCCGATGTGCTTAAATTTTTCAGCTGTGATTGGTTACCATAATGTTACTTGATTGATTTTTTCTAGGTGGAGCGCACAATGCAATCTGGGACCGAATTCCAATTAACACATTTAAAGGCCAAATCTGAGCCTCCATTCCATTTCCGACCGTTCCGGTGTTTGCTGTCTGACCCGTGCCAGATGAGTTACCAGAACACTGTTGCTGTCTGGGAAAACGGTGATATGTTGCTGGGATTCATTCAAGACATTAACGGAGGCCAAGCGCTTGTCGATTTCGACTCGAAGAAGGTCGAAGCCAAGTGGATCGATACAGCGTGTACTTATCCGATGCCATGGTATAAGTATGAGCATAAAGAGCGCAACAAACCCGTTTATGCGGCACTCCGCGACGAGGACAGCGGTCCGTTCCGGTTTCAGCTGGTTTCTATAATCTATCCTTTTGTGGCATGTAAGCGGTGTCACATGTGTTATGTCAAGGCGTATACCGAAAGCGGTGATCGTCGCATCGAATTGATTGATAATCATCAGATCCTTGGTGTGGAGTGGTTTACCGAGCCAGCGATGGTGCTGCGCAACAAGGGGCTCATCTACACGAAATATGTCATTCCCTTTGCCATGGCGGACCAGGTTATTAGCGATCCAGCCGACAAATCGCGACTGATTAAACATTTTCGCGATGCGTTTGAGGGCGAGGAGGCACTGACTAAGCTGACCGACTGCTGCCGGTTTCATCTGCGCATCGAAGCGGGCGGCTGCATCTTCGTGGTGATCAGCGTCGGAACGAACGCGGATGCTCAGCAGATGACGATTACCAAGCTGTCGACAATGTTAGAGAGGCATCTGGCAACCCGGGCAGATTTGCTACCCATTTGTTTTGAGAATGGCTTCCCCAGCGAAACGAATATCAGTATAGCAGGTATGCAGTAATTGCTTGGCGGGTTTGATCTCGACATGTAAAGAGCGGCTTGGGCTGCGTCTCTGTGCTTCATTTGGCCTACGGCCGATATATTTACTCACGATGTGATCACTCAGCAGATTCGCTACTAAATGAAGAAATGCGTTATCTGATTTGCAACAGTTTACGATCTTCCCGCGTACAAATAATCATACGAGTGTCTTACAATTCAGATGACCCAATCGAGTATCCGTGTTCAGAAGTCCTGTTTGGTGATCTTCCTCATTTTATCTTCGGAGAGATCTTTTCTTACCTGGATCTGCACTCGAAGATGATGATCAGGGGGTACGTTCTCACAATTTTAAGAAGAAGCGACAACTACAGCGACAGCGAATTATTTTTGTTGTAATCATTTCTATTATGTTTGTGAACTGTAATAGTGTTTAATTACTGGCTTCCGCTAATAAAGACACTCGAACTACTGTAGAATTTGTATAGGGGAACTGTACCAAGTGGTACGAGAGTTGTATGCGGGAAACAACAACAACACACGGGCAACGTTTGGACGCCTGCTTTGTAAACAGGGCAATAGTAGTTGCCCTGGTAAACTGGACGATAGTACATAATTGACCTGGTCACTCTCTCGCCTAACCCTGACTTGGTAGTGCGCTAAACATTGGTGTTAGCGCGGCCACTTTTTCCCTTAACTGCTCTGTTGATTGGGGAGTATTGGTAATCATTGATTTTTTATAACAGGAAAGTACATGTATGACCGCACACACACAGACTATGATTAGTCGTTGCATTTTTATCAGCGCACTCCAGCTCCAGTGGCTTCAGTATTATAGCACCTGTTCGGGTACGGTCACACACTCGCCTAACGAACTAAGCACACGTACAACAGTGGTACGTCGGTTACGTACTAAGTCTTATTAACCTATTATAATAAACTGTGTGCATGGATAGTAGTGATAGGTCAGTCCTTAGTCCTTACTCACCTAGCAGACTGTGTGCACTTGATTGTAGTAGTACTTACTCTGTAGTTCGGCCGCTCACTCGCCTAGGATGTATCATGTATCCAATATTCAATGGACAGTAGAGCGGGCTATTGCTCTGTAGACAGTTCATTAGGCCTTAGGGTACAGTGGTAGCGCGTCATATTCACATATTTACATTCACAAGTAAGAAATTCTTACTTTACTGTTTTGTGAACTAAGCTATAGTGGGAGCCATGATGGGACGGTTATTCACTCACTCGCCTAACTTAATACGTAGAGCGCTCAGCATTACTGTTAGTGCGGTCGCTTCCTCCCTACTTTAGCTCGTTAACAAGAGAGTAATGGTAAGCATCAAATTCTGAGAACATAAATCGATGCACACCTTTCTACGGGTGTATGGCTGTATGCTATGGTGAGTTGTATGCTATGAGCTTTTTTATACTGTTTTTTATACTCTGAGCATAATTTGCCGGCTAAGGTCGTTTGGGTTTTTTAAGTTACTCTTTATGTTTGACTTATTCTGAAAAAGTCGCGCTTAACAAAATTACATGTACATAGCAACAATAATTTTCCATAAAAAAAGTATAAAAAAAGTACAGTATACAACGAGGGGTAGCCAGTTTTGAAACTGGATTTGCAGTACCGATGCAAAAATTGCAAAAAGGCGAATCGAAGCAAAACGGTAAGGCAGTTTAGCAAAACGGTAGGTTGTCTGCGTGACGGGTCGACATCGCATCTGTTCAACGAAGTGACAGCCGAGAGACGAAGAATTTTCATCGATGAACTGGCGCGTTACCCTGCGATTCTGCGATGTGGTGTAAACTGTTTTCATATATGTATATAATGCCGTGTAGCGAAACAAAAATGTTCGTGGTAACGAACGAAGACATTCTTGGATACAAAAAACGTTAGTAAATACTGTTTTGTTTGTAGTATCTACCCTAGGTAGAATCTGGATATTCACTCGGGATATTGTATAGCGAAAGCCGTGACAGTCCGCTTATATAACGAACGCATTGAACACTGTATGCGCAAGCCGCTTTTCCCTGACATCGGTCCGCATTCCAATTTACATTTTTGTCAGATTACATCATATTTGTTTACACTTGTTATGATTTGTAGAGTGTGCGCATTATGGCACGCTCTGTTGAGCAATCCCCGCACAACGAAACATATTCTAGTATGCTTGGACAGCCTGAATAAAGATATCAAGTCCGACAATATCAACTGCTTCAGAGCGGCAGTGCTGCTCACTCGGACCATCAACGCAGCGACCAAGAGTTTGACGATAATAACGAGCTCTCTCGGAGAAGAAGTGATATTTATTATTTATTTGCTGACGGCCATGAAAGCCGTGAATGTTTACGTGCCCCTGATAATATTGAAGGACTATGTCATCGACACCCCTAATTTGGCACTTTCGGATGAAAAGTTCCACTTGGAACATTCTGCGATGTTCGAGGCAATAACGTTTAAGGACCGCTGTGATCGGCTGATGCTGCACAACTGGAAAATCAGCTATCTGTTTGGTCGACCAATGTATCAAATTTTTGCCGATGATGATGGATTTATGAATTTGTTTTCCTTACCACAACGGGAGAAGACGTTAATGCGGCCTCTCGGGTGGGACCACGCGCTAGCTGTTGATCAGCTGGAGATCAAACTGGCGCGAGTCGTTCTGAACTGCCGCGATGGCCAACCTCAAATGGTCAGCCGTTTCATGTGGGCCGTCAACGAAAATTTTCCGCCCGTTACGGACGAAATGCGTGCAAAGGTCAAGGCCGTTTACAGTCGCTGGGCGCGAGATCTGCTCCATCCTTCTGAATGGGAGACTGTTCGCAGCTATCTTTTACTGTAAGCAATCACTGAGAACTTAGCGGTATGGCCTAAACAAGGGCATTTTAATTTTGCGGAAAAGTTAGATTTCCCAGCACAGTTTTTCTTGAACACTAAAAAATAGAAGTTTCGCGAAGTCCGGTGCTTTCTTTGAACACTTCCGGCCGGGTAATTTTTACTGAGTTTATTTTTACTGAGTTTTTTACTGAGTTCTGAGTCGACATGACCCCTGACCGCAATCAGCTATAAACGTTTCAGCTAAGAGTTGGTAGACATGAAAGAGATCTCTGCAACTTTGCAAGCATATTCGACCTATAACCGTCCAAAACCTACCGATGGCTGACATGCCGTCCTGAATTTTGCCCACCCAGGTTTTCTTGCGCTTTTCCGCGCACAGTATATGAATTTGAGTCGCAACACTTAATGAAAGTTTTGACTTACCTGACATTGTGAGCATATGTGATGTGGACGTGGGAGGGTATCTCAGTATCTGAATAGAATACCTATTGGCCGCTTTGTTTGCGCACACACAGAGTAGAGCAGCTGTCAACAATGTGAGTAATATTGTAAGATACTGCAGTAGTTAAATAATAACAATGTTAAGTATTCACATGACATTGGCATAATTTTTAAAGGTTCAGTGGTTTTCGCTCAGACGGAACGCCTCGTTCATGGGTAGACGTCGACCTGGTTCAAGTGGACACTGCCGAACTAAGCAAAATGGCGCTATATGGAATTAACGAAGTATTCACGGCTGACCAGTAGTCAAAATGATGCCGTGCAACAAAACACTGAAGCCGAAAAGGTAACGTTGATCGATTCAGTAGGGTTTTAAGGAGGTCTGCTTTGAGACCGTAGCACAGAGGTCCAGACTCCAAAGCGCGAGTAGAGTAGAATTAACGTATCAGTTAATGTTACAGTTAATGCGTAATACCAAATTCGGGTGCGAACTAAAATTTTGTGGGGATCTGTGAGTGTTCTAATAAATTAAGGTTAAAATGTTTGAACATGTTAAAAACTTAAATCGTTGTCCTACGCAACGTTGTCCCAGGACTTTTACCATGCTTTAAACGCTACCTTAAGGGAAGTGGGCCGGTACATAGTACCGAATTCGTGTACATGCACACAAACTTTCGTTTTCGCGCACTTCCAAACACATTTTTGTTTCGGTTTATGACGTTTTGTAGCCAGAAGATTTGTATACACTGGCGTGAAAACCGTTTGTGCGCGCAACATCCGGTTCGGAAGTTATGGCTGTTAGAAAATTCCAAAAAGTTTAAATGCGTTCAGGTGTACCAAAAGTCTCATTATGGACGATCTCCTTCGAATTTTGCACGTAAATGCACATAACCACGAAAAACGTTCTTACACCGGTACACTGTTCTAGCATGTTTTTGAAATTATCAAATGAATTAAAAAAAATTTTAATATTCATTTTCAAATTTGAGAAAAATCATGGAAGTCTGGATCGGTGCAAAAACGATCTTCAAGGTTATGCGCATTTACGTGCAAAATTTGAAGGACATCGGTCCATAATGAGACTTTTTACCTTTATTCTTGTCTCAGCAAAATCCGAAATACTTTCGCGCCATATAAATCTGGCTAGAAATCATAAACCAAAATGTTTGAAAACCTTGAACATGTACACGAATTTGGTACCATGTACCGGGCCACTTCCCTTAAGGGGATCACTATGAGATGAATTTCATATAAATGTGTTATCAATATTAACATCAGCTGGTAGGAAATTTTTCGGGCTTTCAAATAGTATGTCTAGATGGGCTATATTGTATCGCGATCATAAGTTATTAGTAAAAAAACCAGACCGGGTCAGCAGAGGCGAAGTAAATGCAGTGATGTTATCGGCTAGCCATGGCCAGCCGCATGGCATATAGACCTGGACAGAAGAACAGAACGCCTCATGCTGTCCTGTGGCCGGAGCCAAGCTCATTCTTCCCTCTCAGGCTATGTTCTGTCTGATCTCTATCCTGCAAAACGCGGGCATGGGTAGCCGGCTCTGGCACACATTGCTGCCGGTCAGTCAGCAAGCCTTTCATTCAGCTGCCGTTTTCCAAAAACTTGTTAAATGGCTTTAAAAATCGATAACTTCATTGTGAAACCTGCTATATTTTCCCGGTCGGTATCAGACGGTGTGTTATTTTCTAGAAAGCTTATATACCGAGACACTGTCATAGTCCAATAAAGCATGATTGAATAAACTCAAAAAAACACTTTTCAAAAAGTGTTTTTCTCGATTTTTTTGTAAACTAACAACATTTTTTATTAGCATGTTGGAGAATATAAGCTTTCTAGGCTAAAACACATCCAGTGATGTGTATCACATCTGATTTGAGAAAACTTTCTCATTCGACTTTTGAATTCAAAGTTTTTCCTTTGTTTCTTGAATAGCTCTGTCTAGAGAGAGCGTAGACAAGATCGCAGCACACCATTGTGTAGCCAAACCCTTTGCGCATGCAGCCAGAACAATGGCAACAATGATCTTTCAGTTGTTTTTAACCTATTCATGTTTTCCCAGACCCACTTTCATCTCATAGGGATCCCCTTAATGTCGTGCGGTACCGGCACAGGCGTCTGTGTGACCGTCTCAAAGCAGGTCTTGTTGAGAAACAAGAAAAAAATGTCGCGGCCCTATGGATTATATGTCGAGTTCGGTGGTCATTTCAGATTTTCGGTTTGTTGTGTGTTTTCTTCTACCCAAATTCCGCGGTCCGGCCGATCATGCTATACAGAGTAATAGTAAGTATGTCCGCTGCGAACATCCGGCGAGCGCAGCTTCTCACAGCTGATGAAACCATGTTTAGCCGATTCGTCATATTTCGTTGCTTTTTCCGACCACCTTACCAAAAGTACGAGTACCACTACACAGATTTATCGAGAGTTACTAGGCCATGCTGTGTCTAAATCAGATTCTGAACCAGAGATGTCAGCCGGTTGAAATTAAAGCAAGATCACCAGCAATGTGTGTCACTGTTTAATTACTATTAAGAAATTGCCGGCGGTTCTTCTAACTTTTTCATACATGCAAAAGTAATTTGATTCTTGTTGTCCAAACCCAAGGTGCTTCACTTCGAAGTAAGAAGAACTGCTACAAATATGCCAGTTAAAACAACAGTCAATAATATCAAAGCATCGGTAACTCACTTAAATTTTCCGCTCCATCCATTGTACTTCTAACAAAAGCCGTATTTCTTCACTGGATCTCCAGTGACCGAAGAAATTCGTGGAAATAATTTCCTACTGAATGATCCAGCAGCTGCTTCCCCGGTTCTTTCACACTTGCAATGGCCGACGATCCCATGGTCAACCGATGCACAAATTATATATTTAACAGAGAATGGATCGCTGTCTAACGGTCCTCTAGAATTCCAAAACTATCCTCATGTGCAAAATTCATAACCATCATCCACATCCAGCTATCAAACACACCGCACTTTGTGACAGTAACCCAATGTAAAAAAATGGAAGGAAGGAAGTTTTAAAGAAAGGAAAATAATGTGCGTCAGTTACGCTCAGTAACAGCAGCCATTCCGATGAATAACTGGAATTGGTTTTGCTGCCAAGTCATTTTACAAATGCCGCATACATTCTTACTTGCTAATTAAAGTGCTGTATAAGCTTATTAGATATTTAACTACCAGTAAGTATGGATATACTGCATACAGATATATGTATGGGCATTCGTATGTATTTGAAATAAAGTGCTGCGCTCCGGTCTGCCAATGTACAAAACTGTGCATTTTCCTATCTAGTACCACTCCCGTGTTTGATAATTGATACTTTGTAGTAACATTGATACTTGTATTCAAAAATAATTACTACATAATTATACAAATTCATCCCAAACTAAACTGCATGACAAAATGACAATACTGGCTAAACGAAAAAGCTTGAAATAAGTTAATAAATAAAGAAATATATCGTAATTAACAAAAATATTGCAACGATCGATGCGATATCATTTGCAGAATGAGAACAAATTCAATGAAATTCCTCAAATTACATATGTAAATGGCTGAAAATCTTACCGTTGATTGTGGTTTAATTTTTGTGTACGGTATTTAAAACTTATGCAGTGAATTAAATTTGAAATTTACCAAATAGATCTATCCCGTGATGCTGGATTTATTTTATTACAATTATTGAATTTTCCTGTTCCGTGCTCAGGTTGAAAATATCATCTTTTACTGTGACGTTTGATGTAATGCTGTTTGGATTATTTAAAAGTTTCTGTTAATTAATTTCCTAAATTTACCAATACCCATTTAAATTTACCAATTTTGCAGCGTCGATGGAACAAGTGGTATGGAAATTAATTTTTGAAAAATTGATTTTTTTGAATTTTATTAACCTGTTTGCTTGGCGTTGTGACTTGTGCGTAATCTTGTGAAAAGTTTTTAATACCTAATTGAAGTTCAAAAATCTACCAGTACCAAGCCTGAGAATTTTACCAGAGCGACTGAATGAGATACAAGCAAGTCATTTTTCTACAATCGATTTTTGATTTAATTGTCTGGTTGTCTTAGCGTGGTTTCTTCTTTTTTCGTCCTGCTTTAATTCGTATGGTCTTCTGAAAATTTCTTATGCAAATCAATGTGTTAAAAATTAGTGGCCTCTTTTTAACGTATGCGGTCTCCGCTGGGCTTGCCAAAACTTTATGGTGTTTTAGAGTAAAAGAACGAAATAATTTTATTGATTCGGGCATTTTTCTGTCTGTGCACTCTTCGGACTTGTGATGGATTTGTAACAGACTATGGCGAGGAGCTCACGATGTGTCTTTATTAGACAATAAAGGCTGACAATGCTGCGTAATAGCAGGAAGAAAGAACAAAGGCACGTGTGGCCAAATAGCAAGTGTGTGCTAAAAAGGTTCTTGATGCGTCTCGTTGGCGAGTAAGTGTCAAGTGATCCTGGCGGCAAACACGTGCGTGGTGATGCAGGCCAAGACGTGAATCAGCTGTGATGCGCAGACTGGACTCTACCCAACGCGAGCGTATGAACGCTGAGTAGTACTGCGAAGAGGAACGAGAGAGCAAGTATGCTCAGTGTGCGCTGTGCGGTATATCCACTTCAGTGGATGAGTGCAGTGCAGCGTCACACGTACGTACAAGAGAGGCAATATGGCATGCAAGTGGGTGCAAGTACGCTCCATGTTGAGCCGTACGCACCACGCGCAGGCTCATGTGCCTGACATGCCTCTGGGCGGGAATCCGAGCTCCCGCGAAGGATGCTCCGACTCAGTACCGCACCAGTACTGCACCACTCTCCGGTTGGACCCAGTGTGGGGTCGCCGGTACGCGTCCTCTGGCAGCTGGGAGTCCGGTGTCTGGTTGACCGTCCCTTCATCCACTTCCGAACCCGTGAGAGGCAAGCAGCTCACGGCCGAGAAATCCGGAAGTTGCTCGTGCGTTTCGTTGGGCCGGTGATGCATCTGTTGGCTGGCTTCTTGCTTCTGTTGGCATCGGAGAACAATGAAAAATGTAATGAAAGTTATACAGCGCGAAAGAAAAATAAAGTTTTATTCACAATTCCAGTGAGCAAAAGGATTACAAAACAGATCTGTCAAAGAGATCGAACTAGAAAAATACAATTCCGTTTGTTAGGAAAGAATTCTAAAAAAAAATAAATGCAACCTGGGTCCAACCGGAGAGTTGTGCAGTACCGCACCAGTACTGCACAACTCTCCGGTTGGACCCAGTGTGGGGTCGCCGGTACGCGTCCTCTGGCAGCTGGGAGTCCGGTGTCTGGTTGACCGTCCCTTCATCCACTTCCGAACCCGTGAGAGGCAAGCAGCTCACGGCCGAGAAATCCGGAAGTTGCTCGTGCGTTTCGTTGGGCCGGTGATGCATCTGTTGGCTGGCTTCTTGCTTCTGTTGGCATCGGAGAACAATGAAAAATGTAATGAAAGTTATACAGCGCGAAAGAAAAATAAAGTTTTATTCACAATTCCAGTGAGCAAAAGGATTACAAAACAGATCTGTCAAAGAGATCGAACTAGAAAAATACAATTCCGTTTGTTAGGAAAGAATTCTAAAAAAAAATAAATGCAAAAATCTGTCCAGGGGTCCTATTCCGACTAGGATGACGTCCACGGGGTGCTTGAGTTGCCACGGGGTCTCCTGTCCAATCGCATCCGGTAAGTTGGGTCCGGGGCGTCGGTTCCCGGGTTACCCGTCGTAACCGGCTAAAATCACCGAGGTCGGATAAGCATGGTTAACACTTACTTCCGACTCGTATCCGTCCGTTGGGAAAAGAGAGGCACTGTTGCAGTTGCAAATGCCGAAGCATCCTCTCTGAATGGGGGAGTTGGACCGAGGTCGGTTGACCAAGGTCGGACTACCGGTAAGTCAACCGGTAGTTCGGAGATCCGGCTAAGTTCCGAACTCCGAAGTCCAGGTCGGACAAAGCTATACCAAAGTTATGTGACCTTTGTGGTCGTCAAGTACAGCAGTTCCGTTCGAAAGTGGTCGGTTAAACCGTTAAATCTGCTACCACGAGCCTGGTTATGAAGTTATCCGATGCGAACTGGCTCGAAGGTCCGGTCGGAAATCCTTGGTTTCTTCGATGGAAGTGTCCGGTCGACTTCCATCCGATGCATGTTGTTGCCATCCGACCTGTAGTCGGTCACAATGTTGTGCGACTCGAGGTCGGTCATACCGTTATCCGATGTGAGGTCGGATATAATGGTGTCCGAAGTGAGATCGGATATTCCGAAGTCGGCTAAAGTGTGTTTCTCACCGTCGGAAAGTTGAATGCTTCCGTTTGGAGATCGATGTCCGACCTCTGGTTGCTTGGTCGACTTGTTGTCGTGCATTTCCGACCTCCGTTCGGTCACGTGATTCGATGTGTTCCGTTGTTATCCGACCTGTAGTCGGTCACAGTGTTGTGCGACTCAAGGTCGGATGTTCTATCCTCTGATGGTCGACCACGGTTAGACAAGTTGTTCCTGGTCGGATCCGTCCATCGCGGGGTAGTTATCCGTCTTCTTCCGTCGTCATGGTTGACTAAGTTAGTCGACCAATGTTGGTCGGCTAACATATCCGATGTGAGGTCGGATATCCATGTTGGTATCCCAAGGTCGGACATGTCCGATGTCCCGAGGTACTTCCAGCCACAGTTGACTGGGTGTTCCGTACTTCCAGCCACAGTTGACTGGGTCCCTTGTGTTCGGACATCCTTCGGTCAGTTCGGACTGGCAGAAGGATATTCGGCAGCGCAACTCCGTTCTTCTGCGGCTGCGCTCCTGACATGAACTCTGGGTCGGATCTAGACTTCCGTTGGTCGATCCGAGCGAAGTGCCTCCGGACGGGTCGGAGTCCCGACGCGTCCTTTGGTTGATCGGCTCAAGTAAAATGCCTCTGGGCGTCCAAGTCCCGCTGCATGTTGAGCGATGGCATGTTGCCGTGGCGTCTGTTGGCCAAGTACTTCCTCATGCATCATGCTTCGGATGGCGGTAAAGAGCCTTTGTGGTCTCTTCCCACCAACCTCTTTGGTTTAAATTCCTCATGCACATGCAAAGTTCCTGAGGTCGTATCAGATCCGATTCTTCGTTTTCTTTAGTTGCGAACCAGGGACGCCTAGCCACGTCTGTTGGGGGTAGGCATCCGAAGTTCACGGAATTCCTTTGCCGATGACGCAGAACATCTGGCCGGCACTGTTGCGGGCAGATGATCTCCGTTCTCGGTGTTCGTCAAGGGGTGCAGGTCGTGTGTTCTAACGCGATCTGCCTAGGATGTTCCATTGAGGACATGGGGAAGCAGGTTGGCGGCGGAGTCGTCGGTACACCGGTAGCCAAATCACCGTCGTTGTTCCTCTTCAGGTAATGGCAGCACGCCCGAAGCGCGCGTAGTCGTGGTCACCGGTGAATCGGGTGTTGTATCCGATATCCTCCGGGGGAGACGTCGGTTGGACTCCAGGTACAGAGTCTGTAGCTCTGGGTTCAGCGGAGAATCCGGTACGACTTAGCTATCGTGGGTGACTGGCGCGGTCCGCGTCTTCCTCATACTTCCATGTCCGATCCGTTCTGGTCGTGGTTCAGCGGTCTGCGTTGTTGCAGAATTTCCGAGGTACCAGATCGTGGTTCTATCCGCGGTCTGCGGTCCGTTCTCCGGAGTCTTTTCGCCGGAGTGGTCTGCCAGCAGAGCGGGGAGTGTCCCTCGCCGATCCGCTGACAGACCGCTTTTCGTGCGGTCCGTTCCGGATCCCGTCCTGTCGTAGTTGCGTTTGACGAAAATTATAAGGTTACTGCGGGGAACAAGGTCGGCCTTTGTGGTCGACCTAATTTCCGGTGATCTCGGTTGATCACCCTGCCATGTTGGCAATGCCGCTAAGGATATCCGCTGTTTCCTATGGTGAAGGTTGCTGTTCGGCTTACCCGGTTCCTAGGTTGGCCACGGGTGCTCGGCAAACACGCTGTCAAAGGCGCAGCAACGTCTTTGACCGCATGTTAGCGTAATCCTCTCGGTCTATGCTCCGGAGTCGGTTGGCCGGAGTAATCTCCGTTCCATGTAACGCGGATTGGGGCTTCTGTTGGCTCCGATGGTAGCAGAACGTGGCTCACGATATGCCATTGTTGGCAGACGTGGTTCCGATCTGTTCATGCCAAGCTGGGGAACTGAGGTCGGTTGCTCA